ATGATCTTGTTGAATAGGAAATTAAAAGAAAGCCTAGCTATGTGCTAAGTGCTACCCCTATAGTCAAAAGTTTCATAGGCTTCAAATAAATTGGCTGTATCTCATATAGATTTGGAGAATTGGCTCTATATGGGTCCTCCCTATATTCTGTAGTTTTGGCCTTTGAGTTATAAATTTAACCCTACTACTCTATATCAATCCATTTCAAATCAAATTTATGAACCTAAGATTTCTCGTTATATATGGTGGTTATCGTATCAATTTTTTAATGAAAAATATTTTGGTGTGCTTATCGATTGGCACCCATTTTCTCTTGTTGACTGTCGATAAATTTTTTGTCAAGTAGGAGAGGAAATGTAGAAAAATATTGTTCTTTATTTGTTACATTCAACGTCATTCGTTAATTAATTGTAAATATGTCGTTAAGATTAATAAGTTGAAGAATATGGACAAAATTGAAACTTTTAGAAGTAAAGAGATGATACCGATGTATATGTGAGAATTCATAAACTAATTTGGCTTGTACTGATACACCAACGACATTATGATATTGTCTAGTTAAATTTTGAGTTTGAGACAAGTATGAAAGAGATACTTTTAAGTTTAAGTGTTTTTAGAATTTTCAAAATCACTTTTGGTCATTTAACCAAACATTATGATCGAAATTTTAAAAAATAATTTTAATTGGTTAAAAAAAAAGTCATTTTTCATACTTTCCAGAGGGATCATCTCAATGATATGTTTCTATAAGCAATTTAATTAAAAAAAAAGATGATGCTCAAAGAAAAATCACTTTAACCGTCTAGTTCGACATTCTAAAAAGTACTTCCCTAACGAGCATTATGGGCGCTAAAAGAATTCTAAAAAAAAAATTGCTCTCTCAAACTCAATAATTTTGAGTAAAAAGTGCTTTTAACTATACCGAAAGCATTTCCTCATATAGCCAAGTTAAAGTCTCCATAGACGATTTACTTTCGTATTAAACTCGATCAAAAGGTCTTTTACTTACATATACACCTCCAACGACACCTTTCCACTTCTAACCGACACGAGACTAGGGTCGAGTATTAATGTTTCCAAATAGCATAAAGGTAGCTTAGTGGCAATTACGGATGGTGGTGAGGGAGGGAGGGCATGCAGTGTAGTAGGCCATGGGCAAAGCGCGGCATGTGCGCCACAAAACTCTCCAAGTGTAGTTAGTAGGCTAAAAAACTGATAGAGGAATTTTATCAAACAGGTGGTGTGCAAAGTTAAATAGTCGGCCCATGCATGTCACTCAACGACCATGCACCACCCACTGCCATCCCACACTTACCGCTCATCCAAAAGCAATTTTATGGCTTTTCCCACTCTCAAATCTCCCTATCCATTTCTACAGTTGTCAACGGATTGGATATTCAAGAGTCCGTTTGGTAATGTTCTTATTTTTTGTTTCTCGTTTTTTATTCTTTAAGAAACCCAAGAATCGGGTAACCTAAGAAATATTTTCAAAATTTTAGAAACAACAAAATAAAGTTTCTTGTTTTATCATTTTTAACTTATAAAATCCATGATAATATTTAAAAGATAAAAGTTCTGAAAATTTAATTTAAAAAATTAATGGTTAACATACTATTTTGGTCTATGTACTTCTACCCTTGATTCGTTTTAGTTCATACATTTTCAAAATGTTTGTTTTAGTCCCAGTACTTTTAAATTATTAACCATTTTGGTTCCCCAATTTTATTTTTAATCTCATTCTTTTCTATCACAATTTCAACACGACAATACACACTCAATATATT